AATGGATCTTCACACAACTATCACATCACTTTTCTTTGGAAATACTACCCCCCCCCCCGTTTGCCGATTCATGTGTTCATGTGGAGGCTGTCACCAGGTCGCTTGATAATAATCCATATTATTTATTACGAATGAAATACGTAAAGATAAATGCCAGTGTGTTATGTTGTCGTAGTAACTTCATTACGAAGTTGTCGGCTGGACTTTAATAATCTTTAAATAATCAGATTTCAAATATGAATACAGAGGTTAAATTGCTGAAAATATACAGGAAATCAAATTTCATTCTAGAATGAGATGTATCAATTCTCCTGCAATCGAAGTCATTTTGTCGAATTTATCGGCAACTGTTTCGCATGTATTTTTTACTATGGCGCATTTTTCAGAAGGTCAGACGATTTTCCGATTGAAGAAAAATAATAGGCTAACAATTTATCTTAATTCTCTATTTTTTTAAAATAAAAGCACAACATTCATAACACGAACCTTTTTGTGTTGTATGTATGATGCTAGACTGTCGACTGTTCTCGGGCCTAATAAAGAGTCACTTATTTTCAAGCGAGGGCCGTAAACTACGTCATACACCGATCAACCAATCATGAGCGCAACGGGTCACCAATAAGCAGGAAGTAGTAGTGGTTTGAGTGACAGTCTCAACAGGAACGTCACCGGGCAATTTCCACGTAATGCCGCATGAGGGCGTTTACATGATATAACAGTCTCTCGGGGCCTTACGGCCCTCACTTGAAATGCCTTCGGCATTTCGTTAACTATAATTGAAAATAAGTGACTCTTTAATAGGCCCGAGAACTGTCAACATTCTAGTATGATGCCTACCAATAATATCAATCCGTGTGTTATTTTTATGCGTGCGGGACAACTATTTTGAATTATAAACACCTTTTCTCAGAGAAAATATGTTGTCCAAATCATGGTATACCCACCCGAATATTAAAACGAACGAACCTTGAATCGCGACTACAGTGAGCATGACATCTCATTGTGACACATGCCACGTGTATACAATGATTGTTGTTATTGTGTCATAACCTCCATAAAATTTAATAAAATAAATGCAGGTAATGCAAACAGTAAAATTAATTATTATTCTGAAACTACAAGCAACTGAACATTACAATGTATATTAATGCATGAAAATTAGAAGTAAATTCTTGTCAACAAAACCCGTGGTTTGAAACGCATCCTAATATACCATCATTACATACAACGCGTGAGTTTAACACTATAATACCCATATTCCAGTCAAGTTTTAAGTTGAACGACAAGTTTTTCCGTAGTATTTAGTAGCACCAATCGGCATATCTTCCTCCGTTAGAGGTGCCCTTGGTTTTTTGCAGCCCAGACGTTTAAGAATATGTGAATCCTAGATTTCAAATACAGGCCGATACATAACAACAAAAACATTCACCATCGCTTTCTCTTCTTCATCAGTTACTACACATGTATCGATGACAACATATAAACCTTGTGAAAGCCTTGTTATACTATACCCTGCCAGTAAAATTAAACACAAATCTCTGATATCTTTCAAACAATCAGAAAGTTTGAAGGGTTATGAAAATTTGTCGTGGTCACCGACTCCCTTTCGACCTATGGTTTGCCGAGCAAGCGCTTGGAAATTCTTTAATTATTGACAATAATGTGTTGCCGATATAATGAGTAGGCGACGGTGTAGCAGCTAAGCTGTGCCTCCACTGAAAACTGTCATGTAGGACACTGAACTGGAAATACCACACACCCATGACCCATTTGCAAAGTTCGTCACGAGCGAGTTGGCGCCCTATGTTTTGAAACTCCTTCTGTGAAATTCTGACCGTACTTTCAGACATATATTTCTTCATTGCGCTTAACTTTGCCAACTGTAAACCTATTCCAATACATCCGACATTTTCAAATTGTTCTTCTTTATTGGCTTTGAATGTAGATACGCTCAACATATTTAACATTTTGTAGCACAGACAACTGGGTTTGGAAAGCTTGGCCGATTTTCTCGGTGACACACGTGTTCGAAGACAACAATAACTGTGCATGCATAGTAGGCTTGAATTAACTGCTGAACTTTAGTTGTGGTCCCATGCTGCAACAGGACTAATAAAGTGTGCGTACTAGTAAGATAAATAACTGAACAGAATCGAAAAAAAAAAACTAGTAATGTTCTACATGAGACGTAGTAGCCTGACATGTAGGCGTGAGTGGCGCCCTCGCCGGCCGAACGGCATCAGACCCCACTAGTTGGGCGCAATTCACGCGACTTTGTCAGGCTAGAGACCATTCTCCTTCTCAGAGATGTATTCGTAGAAATAGAACTCTGCCTGGGAGATTGGCTAGAGACGTAGCAACGTGTTTACTACCTCTCCCTACACAACATGTAACCGAGAGACATGCCAACGCCCTCTAGATACCGACAAAACGTTCATATTTTTGTAGAAATTTATTTTTTATATTTCAAGTCGATATATTGCCAGAAGCAGTAGATTAAGAAATTAAACAAGCTAGTACAACTGTTTTTCATTTACAAGTTTAAAGAGGTTATATACGTTGTCGTAAATTTCTGTAAATTTCTTGTGGCTGTATGATAACGAGACATGCTATAATTTTACATTCATTTGACACACAATAAATTTGCTAAAAAAAGGTACGCTATTCTACAAATAAATATTCTGGAAATCTTCTGTATGTACATAAATTAATAAACGCTGCTCGGACTGATAAATATGATATATAGAAGATAGCATTTTTGCTATCGATAAAGAGCCATTGCTCGAAACGTCTAGCTATTTTTATAGTTATTTAGGACTACGATTACCAAATATTATCTTCTGTATGTACAGTCCGTTACATTACAGGAGGTTATTGTAAAATTACAGTATTTTTTTCTGTATATACCGTAGTTTCTAGTTTCTGTCGAACTTGCAAGCACTCACACTTAGCAGGTTATCAAGCATCAATTTGAGGTATACACATAAAGTCAATACCAATATATCTATAGAACACCAGGCCGGTTTATTCATAATAAATGTCCCAACATTACAAGTATACAGAAAATGCAATAAATAAATGCAAGCACAACATTAATACCGCCGAACACATTTATTTTAATATGGAATAATAACGTCCCGCCGGTTAATTGAAATGTGTAAAATAAAATAAAATTGTCTCAATTTTATAGTATATCCAATGTTCAATTATGCACCAAATATATTTCAAGAAAACAAGTAAATTAAAAATACATTTAATTATGAAAATAAACCAAAAAAAAATATTTTACAGGACAAATCCATCTCTTCGTAACTGTTACAGCAGAACTTTGGGCATACGTGTCCATGTCAATTCGTATTTGTAATTGATTGCTAAATAGAACAAGAAACATTGTTCAAATTCGTGTGGACATCCTCAAGTTAATAATGTCAACAATATGGAGAAATATTTCTTTAAGGCCAAATTGTCAGATATTAGAATGTAGTCCTAGAGTACATTTCTGAAGGTGATCTCGAGATACATTGAATGCCGATGTGTTCAGCAAATGGACTCGACACCAACAGGTAGTTTCAACTAAGACGAATACAGTTAGCCCAAAAACAAATAAAATTAATGTTCGGTCGCAACAAGTTTGGGAGTACTAATCGACATTACAAGGCAGTCATGATTTTGTAAAATTTCTGTGAGGCATGGCAGTGCAGCTTTGGAACACCCTGCTCCATTGTAAAAACTGCAGTGTCATCTTTTTGCAATAATACATACGCTGTGGACTGTGTGTCAATCACCTAATATGTGAAATCTCGGTATGGTATTCTGTTTAAAGCATTTCCAGAATTGTTTTTCAAACTCAAGTTGTCGTCCATCAACAGCGTCGTCACAATGCCATATATGTACTGTCAGTAAACACCAAGTTTACATTATTCCACAACCGATAATCAGAATGTTTATAAATGTAATGTAGAAGTCCAACTTCGTTCTAGACATTTCTCTTCAAAGATCTGTTGTAACGACTGTCTTAAATCAATAAATGGGCTATTGTATTTTTGAACATGTTTCAAATGATTTTCCATGATAGTTCATATTGATATAATATTTAATTTATTGTAAAGTGAAAACGTTATTTCGTTTGATGAAATAGTGGAAACATTAGTACGCGTGTGCGTCAAATTAATTAATTACTCGCACGTACTGTGCACTATCGTTTTCATTATTTCATCACACTTTTATTCCACGATATATCACACACTGATATTTTAAAATAAAGATCAATTAAATATTGAGATTTTCTTGGACACACCATTAAATACAACAGTTATATTTCTTTATGTATTTGTCACGTCCCCTTTGTCAGATTCAATCAAGCCCTGTAAGCTGTTACCAAACCCTATAATTACTCAAATCAACCATTTGTTAAATACATATCCATGAATTTATTATAATAATAATATACTGCAATAAAGTACTAGTATAGCACGTGCGTTCAGACAACAAATAACAATAAATATAAGTACTGTAAAATGCCTAATTTTCACTGGGTTTAAATTTCACTGATTTACCATTTCAGGCATATTCAGTGGGTTTTAAATTCACGGTTTTGTCATTTAGATAATGTGTTCTATGCTAAATTTTACATATTCACTGTGTTTTAATTTAGCGCATTTTTCCAGTCAACGAAATAAGCTAAATTAAAACCCAGTGAATAATTACCCCTTTTACAGTATCATATAAACAACAATATTGTGAATACGGTGGCGGGTAATGTCAAAATATCGTACCAACTATAATTTTACTAAAGCATGCGCACATTCTGATAGGCTGATATTGAAATGTTCGAAAATGATAATGTAATGTAATGTAATGTAATGTAATGTAATGTAATGTAATGTAATGTAATGTATTGTAATGTGTTGACACTAAGAATAGGTGTGAGATTACATCACACGCTGAGTGTACAGAAATACCGAGAAGATAATAAGACCGGATCCTATACAAAATTGAATGTTGATGAGAAAGCCAAACATAAGCACAGACACTACTGTGGAAATCAAAAGGGCGACAGATGTTGCAAATACTTTAAGAATATTATCCGCATATTTCACAACGATTGCAACTAACAGCCCTCCAAATGCTTGCCAACACGCAACAAACCATACCAGGGGAGTATATCCGTGGAAAAAACCCTTCTCACTGATTTCTGCTCCGTCTTTTAGCCACATGGCAACCAAACTAAACGACACCCCATAAATCCCAAGTTGTATATTTCTAAGCCACACAGATCCTGCCGTTTCCTTCAGAATTTTCTCCAAATAAACAGCCGCAAACCCAGATGAAAGACACATGACAAGGACGGCAGACAGACCGAAAAGATAATTCTGCTCGATATGTGCCGCAATGAGTTGTTCATTTGGGTCCGTAGACTGTACCTGTACGATAACAACACCAATAAACGCAATAAAGATTGATAACCACTGTACACGACCGAGAGTTTTCTTTAACCACAGAACATAAAACACAGCTGTTGTTAATATCTTCAGTTGCATTGCCACCTATGGAATAAAATTGAAAGGCTGTGAGGATCAGCTATTAATTAATTAATTAATCAAGGGGAAATGGTAACATGTACACGGAAAATCCGCATACAAGTATTTATTTTCAAGTGAGGGTAACTTCGTTTGTGATATTCTAGTTTCGTTTACGGTAGGGTTGTACTTAGATGTGTTTCTAATAGAGTAAGTACACTTCTTAAGTTGTGACAAACCAATTGCTGCCGAAGATGAAAAGAGGAACGTGATATCAGACTGTGAGAACATAGCCTGGACGAAGGGATTCACCGGGAGATACGATGTAAACAGAAGATACTCACATGAAACGTAGTTGCACTCAAGTGAGACAATGCTGAATATATTAAATTATTCTGCAGTGTGTAAGCAAGAGCTGGTACAGATACCACTTTCAATGTGTCCATGGGATTTGCTATAATCGTGTTGTACAGGTATGATAGAAAGGTGCCAATATGGAATCGAGATTGCAGGAGGACTACTAATAGACATGTCGCAAGTTTTATGACTTCGGTCGTGACAACAGCGGTGGAAGCCAGGTACATGTGTCCTTCGACCGTCTTCGTTGTTCTTGTGTATCGCATAACCAAGATGAGAATCGCATTTTGTAACACCAACAGACCAAGACTGATATATTTAATGGGTTTTGACGGTTCCTCTGAAAAGATACGATATGCACATTCCGATATTTTACTCTACGTAATGTAAGCGTAAAATGACGTTATTCGTGTATATGTTCTCCTTCTCTATAGCATATGAAACTATTATTCATGGCTATACATGAAAAAAAATCCAAATCCTTGCATGGAAGCCTGAATATTACATGGTAAAAACAATGATTTTGTTCGTGGCGATATTTGATTTGATATTTATGTGATGGAAGAAAGGATAAAGGAACAGCATTGCAAATATTCACATGTTTTAAGTGTGTTATGCAGTGATCAATCATAGACTGTAGTAATGGCAAACAAATGTAATTGCAATAAATACCTATTCCATGAATTGGATACACGTTATGTAATGGGAGTTGGTGCATGGAGATAATCCCATAAATCATAGACAGTACGGTATTACATTGTACATGCAACGCAGTGCCGCGTTAGTTTCGCTCCACTTACCTTGGGGCGGAGTCACAGAGCCCTGATTGTCAAGCCCAATTTCGACCGATTCTATATTATTAATACATGTACAACGAGTTCATGAAATGAAGAAACAAAAAGAGAGAACATATCTGAGTAAATGCTGCTCGTGATGAAAATAGTTTGTATCTGTTATATGAAAGTTACTTTTAATTCTTAGTGTTTAGGTTAGCTACCCCATCGTAGTAAATTATTCTGGAGTCAGCACGGTAACACGGTATTTAATAAAAGTCATTATCAAACGTCGTGATTGGTTACAACGTGGTCACATGTACATATTATATCACGTGGTGTGTATGATATTGTTTAATATTGTATTTAAAGTTACATTATAATTCCGTCTATTGCTATTGCACAAATGTACAGCTGTCAAACAATGGCCATTTTATATAGCTAAAAATTGATTCCAATTATCTACAAAATATGGCATTGAAAATAAATGCTATACGCGGTCTGCACACAGACATGATTTGTTAACATAAATCAGTACAATGTGTGCACAGGCTCGTCTAGATCTTGTGTCATCTGGTGCTACTTGCAGTCTGGGTCACAGTGCGCATGCGTGGTTATATGATAACCGAAATGGGATTAAATAGACGATTCAATTTGCGAAACAAAAAAAGTAAAATGCACATCCCATATCATGGTTTAACATAACGTAGAACATAGAACGTAATGAAAATGGGGTTCATATTTATAAACAAGATGATATTCTGGGATTAAAAAGGTGCTAACTGTGGATTGGGGGGTATTACTCCTCCAATAAACACCTCTCCCTTGTGGACAATTCTAGCAGAGAAGGTGATGTCAGTGCACAGTGCAAAATAAATATGATAATATACCATTCAAACATTCAATTTAAAAGAGATGCGCGACAATGAAGGCGGGGATGTCCGATACATATGTCCCTTCACCACTATGCAAATTCACAAATACATTTGGTGGGAAAACAACTTGGTGTTACTTACTCTGTGGCGCAGAGGTGTCCTTCTCTGTGTTAACCATGTTTGTAAACGGCTGGTGTGAGAGGATAGTCACCTTTCACCTCTGACTGCAGGAGAGTATACAAATCTAGATTACAGTTATCGTAGTGTTGACTAAGCTATTTTCCATTACTTGAAACATGCACCATCCCAGGTATGAAGCAGGATACTCTCTTCTTTTGGTAGCATGCGTTTATCGATGTATTGATTCATTGACATTCGAAGATATTATATTATATTATATTATATTATATTATATTATATTATATTATATTATATTATATTATATTATATTATATTATATTATATTATATTA